TCTGACGTAAAAATTGTTTGAACAAAAGTTTTTCTTCCTGATAATATGAACACACTCGATTGATTCGCAACCTTTTACGATGTTTACAACTAAAGATATTCGACAAACAAGAAAGGTGGTAAAAAGTGGTAAAGTGGCAAAAAGTGGCCTTAAGCCACGTGGAAAAGTTTGGAAAAGTTGGTCAGCCATAAAGGGCAGCTAATGGGACTTAAAAACGTCAAAAATCCTCTGAAAGCTTCGTGTGTCAGCAGATCGATTTTTTCAGACGGATTTCCCTGTACTAGTAATCACATGCTGTAAATCTCGTTCGGCCTTGGTTGCTTTCGGGGAATTGGGTCGATACCTAGTATTTTGGGATAAGGGCGGAAGTTAGTATCCAATTAGCTGATGTTTAATGAATCGTTATTGGCATTGCCGAGTACAGCTGCCTTCGGGTAGTTCTTCTTAATCTATTAGTATTACAATCGTAAATGAATGGGAAAAGCGACCGACCGATTTCATTTTCAGTATCATTTTGCATTTGCGGACTGTCATTCAATTTCAAATAAATATCATTTACTTTTGTTTGGGAAAGACTTTAGCTGTAACATAATGTTTGACGGTTGGGTATGCTTTAAACTTTTATTTTCAAAGTTAGGCCCCCACCAGTAAGGTTTCCTGGGTGGATTTTGGTCAAATATCATCTCTTTTTGATTAATTTCAGGGTACTTTACAACATACAAAGTCAAAACTGATAATTTCATTAATAAGGAGGTAATTTCAACGATTTCGAAATTTTACCTTTGAAAACATTTCTTTGTGTTTATGTAAGCATATTTGTCCATGTCGATCACTGACTGAATATGCTACTTTATACTCATACAAGTTGGTATTTTATTGATATATAATGCCATGCAGTGGCGTAACGTTGCTTGTAAAAAATTGTCCCCCACAGTCAAACGACGATTTTGCGCCCCCTAACACCTATAAAGCACTAAAATGCCCCTCTCGCACAGCGGGGTCAGCGAGGCCCTTCGTTACGCCACTGTTATGCCATTAATTAACTATAATCGTTTTGATACGTTGTATGACCCGCCGCGCACGTGTGCGCGGCTCCCCCTTGTATCGTAGAAACGCTACAGTGAAACGACTTCATACACGTTGTCATGTATACTTTTCGTGTTGCTCTAACCAGAGCCCTCTCGCTTGCAGTAGCGCGCGACCGCCGAAGGCGGCAATTATTTACCTGAGGACCCCAGACTTTAATGTTGGTAAACAACAAATAGAGATTAGGCGGAATGACAGGCTGAGCGCGGCCCAGTAAGCAATTATAAGATTCTACTTGTGAAACAAGCGCGTCACGCAGTACGCGTAGACACATGGCTATGTGAACTTTTCGTGCACGGCCGGAAGAGTGCACCCCGGCCAGCCGACCGCGCGCGCTTTGCACGCGATCAAAAGGGGTTACAATAACGGGTGATACTCGTAAAATATTTGTTCAAAATATTATATTATTACGAGTCCAACTCGGCGCGCGTCCTAGTAGGTTATAAACCTACAAGGGTTACAGCGTGTGTCAACTGTTAAGACTAGAAACAACAATGGGGGTCATGCGACGTGACTGGTGACGTGACACAATATTGAATATATATAATTTTGGGAACGCATAATCTAATCTAAATCACAAATGAGTAAAAGTCTCACCTTTTGCACGTGCAAACTTTAAACGGATGTTGATTCACGATGTCAATCCTTCGCAGCTCGGTGAGGCACAGTGGTGCATTTCGCCGATCTACCGGTTGCGAGAAGCATTATTTGATGCGCGCGCGACCCAGTAGTGCATCGCGCTACAAAGCGGATGTTGCATGCACATCCAATATTGAAGTTGTAGCGCGATGCACTACTGGGCCGCGCCGCGCATCAAATAATTCTTGTTTGAATTGTTTGAATGCTTTTTATTTTTATATAAACTGCCAATGGCCAAATGTTCACATTGTATGAACACTCCTGCGCGCAGTGTTGTGACCTCCCTTCGTCGTAATTAGCTCGTATTCAGATTGAACAATTTTGAAGTCAAATAAATGTTGTTTCTTTTAGATTTGAATAAACAATAAGGATTTAGTCCGAAAGTAATTTGTCTACTAAATAACATTTTGAAATTATGAACAAAATTGGTAAAAATTTGCCATAGTTGTGACAAAAAACTACGCGCAGAATTAGATATTTCTTCATAAACGCGTGAACATTTTTGAGTTTAACATTGAATATCTTAGCTCGGTGATTTTAATACTTAATTTTAAAGTATCTATCCGATAACTAAACATTTTATCTTTACGACAGTATAATTTTTTTTGTATATTTGCTAAATTAAAAAAACAGTAGGAATAGAAACGTCGAAGGTCTTGCGCTTATTTCAGTCCCAAAATATACCCTAATCATAAACTTCATAAAACCCACTGAAAATGATGTCTACAGGCATATTTAGCCCTTACACCTTCCCAAATCATTTAGCAAGGATTCAGAGCCAGCTTTTAAAATTAGCTTTCGAATAACATTGTTAAGACATAAAACTATAAATAAATGAGTGCTTTTTTCTCTTTCGTCTCAACAGTTTCTCTTTCATTTTAACACTATATATTAGTAAAAGCAATCAGCGATCTTTATTCATCATTAAAGGAGTAAAATAATTGGTCCTCGTTAATGTTTAATGTCTGATTACAGTTTCGGTCCGACCTCCACACCTGAAAAGATATTGGGGGTATTATCAGTTAAGTAAATGGAAAAATCATATTTGCATCATAAAACTATGAAAACATTGAAACTAATGTTTTTGAAGGCTCGCCTATTCGTTTAAGCAATCAAATAGTCAGTGCAAAGAACAGTTGAAGGCACCGGGAATGTTTCAAATAAGTCCTCTGTCTACTATCAGACCACACACTCCACTATGCACTTCAATGTATCGTATAACAATGGCAGTTGAAATGTGTTCCCGCCATTTTAAAATAAAAAATGTGCGCAGCATCTTACGGGTTATGCGCTGTGATCAACGGTCACGGCGCAATGGTTATGCGCCGTGACCATTGATCACGGCGCATACACATTGCGTTTAAATTGTCGTATAAATTTCCAGCTTCTCTGTGAAATTTGGTTGACTCGACTAATTTAAAAATTTAATACTCTTTGTTTCATTCTAGTTTAATTGTATTTCTATGATGGTCGGAATGAATTATAATGTTTTTTCTTCTACTATGGGCCACATTCAGCCTGTCATTCCGCCATATTTTCAACGGCTATGAACACTAACATATGCACACTTATATGAGCCTGGCCCCATGTAAGATGTTTCTTTGTAGTCAGCAGTGTATTACTATTTCGGTTTTATAGTCGCATTTAATTCAGTAAATATTAATGGTTTCTTCACCTCTTCAAAGTTCAATGTAATTGGTTTGGAGGTCATTTGAAATAAGGAGGTAAAATAACTCACATAGCTTCCAGCAAGTTTCACGGATATAGTGATTGAGTTTCTAGTCAACCTAGCCTCTTTGCCTGACTGATTTCTTGTTCGGCAGGGTGACTGCTTAAACGTCAACTTCAACCTCTTCCACTGCATCGAATCGTACTAGTAGAATTTGTACCTGAAATATTACATTTAGTTTAGCGACCTTCACATGTGGGTCAAACTTAGTATTTCTGAAAGTTTCGCCAAATTTCATTGATTTCAGAGGGTGTGGCACGTCACTCTCTCCTTTTAGTTTTAATTATTGTCGCCATAAAATGACAACACTTTATACTAGGAACTCCAAAGTTGACAGACACATGTACATTTGGTATAATAATTCAAGTGATTCCCAAAATTTCAAGTTGATTACACAATTTGGCCAAGTTATGACCCATTTAAGGGCTAGCACGACAAAGGGGAACCCCAATTATTAGGGGGTCAGATTATATCACCAATTAGTGCCGTATAATTAATGATGTTATCCATCCAGTTGTTTGACATGTGCCCGGATGAAGGATATGAAAACCCTGCTCAATATATTTAAGAGATATGTGGACTGGTCACGTTTCCAGAATCCAGTTGAAATCCTCCAAGTCAAGAGCCCTGGTTATGAAGAGGGGGGTAGTAGTAGAATGGTATGAAGAGAACAGTGGAAGTGGAGGCGTCGAAGAAAGTCTGAGTCTAGGGGGAGAGGTGATTCCAAACGTAGCGGAAAAGCCAATCAAGTTCCTGGGTCGGTGGATTAGAGCAGAGGCAGCACGCCAACAGTTTTCTGAGGACGTGGCAGGGTGTATGCCATACACTGAGTAACATCTGCTTATTTAGTCAAACATCTAGTGTGGCCTTGCCCATCGGCAGCCTGTCCGATACTTGGAAGCTGGAGAAATGTCGACTCCATCAGTTCTACCAGCAGTTTTTTGATGACATGATAAGGGCGATTCAACCGCAAGTCAGGTCAGGGAGAGTTTGGAGACCAGACAAGGAACTAGATTGTGCTGAGAGGGACTTAGTCTGTGAAGCGGTGAGAGGAATGGTCCAGCCGTACAGCAGGGCAAGGATTGGTTTTGGAGAATGGAAGAAACCGTGGAAGAAGATGAACGCCCGGGAACAACAAGCTGAGGTCCTTCAGAGAGTTAAAAGAAACCTCGAGCATGAAAGGGAAGTTCAATGCGGCTCTCTTGAAGTCTTGAGATGCAGTCAAGATGGGGACAGTGGAGGGAAGAGGTTATGAAGACGGACATGAGCTGGCACACACTCTTTAAGTATGGTGATTCGCTCACAGGTTTTATGCTCAGTGCGACTTATGGTACTGTGGTCACACCAAATTGATTTTTTTAAATAATCCAAATACAGGCAGCGATTTAGTCAACTTAAGTTTGTCATTTATGTAATTGAACATTAAAAATGTATCCTTCATAGAATTTTGTATTATCTCGAGGGTATACAATTGTCAATTGAGAAACACGTCATAAATCTAAACAAATAAGTTCATTAAAATAGCTATCAATCAGTAAATGAACGAACCTGTACATCTAGATGATGTAGGTCCACCACTTGTAACTTGTCAGACCGGTTGTTGTACAGCTTCCTGTTCAGCCTGAAAACACATTTCTGTTACCATGACAACGTTACCATTACAAGTTACCCGTGGTGGGGAGTGTCATGAGGTTACGTGACTGATAAAGTAGATACACCTCCTCCCCACTAATAGTGCACTAACCTGGAAATGAGGGAGTAGACTCCAAAAAGTGAGGACCAGCGTCATGTCAGTAACTTAAAAAAAAGCCCGGGCCTATTTTAGATCCTGAAATTAGTGCCAGGAGTCTGTTTTGTGGATTATATTGTTGGCTTTAAAGGGATTTAAAAAGTGTAAACAGTAGGGTATTTATAAAACACATAATTACTGAACACGTGTCGAGATTAACTTAAAACGTGAAAAATCAATAATCAAGTAATCACACGTTTCCTTGCCCCTTCCCTTGTCTGAAAAGTGAAAACTATCCCCCCCCTCCCCCCCCCCCCCCCCTTTCACCGAACGTGTGTCTAATCACGAGCAATTTAAATCAAACACGTAAAAACAAGTAACACATAAATGCGAGTACAGTGGCAGTCAACTACATGAATGGTAGTAAACTGATAGTGCGGAGAAACACGGCACACACGTTAGGCCAGGAATGTTCCGCGCCATATAAGGAATAATTCACTGGGTGTACAAATAAACAATGTGGTTGGGCCGTGAACTGGTGGTATTTTTTACACAACTTGTTTTAGTGGGCTTGTCAAGTCCTGTGCTCGATTATAGTAGTATAGAAGTGAGGCGGGACACCATAGTATGAAGACACAGGCACTTTTAGAGTCCATTTTAATATCACTTTTCACGCTCTGCAGTGCTTCAGACTTTAAAGTAAAACTGGCACTTTCCATTTTAACTTCGGCTAATTAATCCCTTACCAATATAAGATAAGTTGTAAATGTAAGTATGAATTGTGGGTCAAATAAGACAGTAGTTTTTATGTTCTTATGTGACTTTTTAATCTATAATTCCCGGCCAAAAACTCAAAATTGGCCGGGGCCGGGAATAAACACCTCCCCCGGCGCCGGGAATCCCGGTCGTTCAGTGCATTACAGCACAGTAATTAACAGAGCCAAAGTTGTTACTTGTCAAATGCTAAAATAGAATCTCTAGAATACAAATAAATTCATTCGATCAACATCGAAAATGACGTCACAACGACGGTAATGTCAATGACGTCACGAAGCTCACTTGAAGTTTTTGCTGCTGTCTGAGTTTATCAGCTTGTTCACCAGTCTCTGTACTTCTTCAGCGTGCTGATTCAACAGCTCCTTACCCAGGAATCCCACAATTCCCTTTACCCCACCCTCTAACCCATAAAGCAATTCCAAACGATACATATGCTTCATCAAACTACCAAATCTAATCAACAACATCCACCACCTCACCTACCCAACCATCCACCCCTAAAGCAACTTATTTCACTATGTTATATTATGTTTCAATCGAAATCAATTCTTCCTTATGCTATATCTAATGAAAAAAAATAGTTACTAAATAGTTTTAAGCAATCAATGTCCCCTTTTTCCATTATAAATCAGACGTCCACCCATGATCTACTCATTTCAGGTGCAGCTAATTCGCCGGTGGTGGCAGCCCAGAGGGCACTCAGCACATCCCTGTGATCAATATTCTCAATAATATGAGCGGAAAAAGACTTGACAGAAACTCACCTAGGACCCCCACCTCCTTGATGAGCCCCCACACAGAGAAAAGAACCAGATCATCCAAGAGTGAAAGTGAGAAACGAAGTGCAGTCGTAAACTCTACCTTTGAAAGAACCCCCAGCAATAGGAGCCTCCTACAGACGTCACTCCTCAAAAATGGCCGTGCTTCACCTCTGGCAACATCAATGTCAGAGTCTGAAGGAAATGTTAGTGATGACAGCACCAGCACATCAAAGCCAAAATCTAAAGTCGTCAAGTCCAAATGCCCCTGTTGCAGAACCTCTGGGGGTAAGTCTTGGCTTTTGACCTGTAAGGACTGTGGCCAGGTTTGGCACTCTCTATGTGCAAACTTGAATGGTGCTGATCTTACCCAGAAGGGGATTGATTCATTGCTTCCCAATTGGGGCTGTCCCTGGTGCTTTGTTGCCCCATACCCAAGACCAAAGCAGCATAAGTCGGCTAAGTTAGCGAATGCATTGCAAACAACTTGCTATGCAAACCAAATCTCGGCTGAGGTAATTGAGTCCCTGGAGGGTATAGTCGAGCAGAAAATGAAGCATATTACCCAACCCACGACTGACTTCATTGCATCAATACAAAATCAGCTGACAGAGCTGACCCAAAACATAGCATCCTTAAAGAACACTCCTAACCGTCCTCCTCCTCCTCAAATGAACGACTACAATCCCCCACAACCACCACAACCCCCTAGAAGGGCCCCAATTCAAGTAGAAAGTGTCAGTTCAATCAACCTGGTTCCTGATATAAAGCACGTGGAAAACCATCTAGAAGACTACATCACAGAGAAAGAAGAGAGCGACCTTATGAACATGCTACAGACTCAACTCGCAGAATTCTCATTAGAGGGGCAAAGAAATGTACTTCAATATGGAGAGCACTACAAGTACATGGGTTCTAAGTCAAACCCTTTGGTGATGCCTGAACCCATCAAGAAACTGATGGAGCGTCTCAACAATGAGTATGGGTCTTCACACCAAGAGGAAAGGCACCACTACAAACTAAACTCTTGCCTAGTGAACATGTATGATGATAAGGAGTCTACTCTCCCAGAACACGCAGACAATGAGGGGGATATTGACCCAAAGTCATCTATCTTCACCATATCTCTAGGGATCCCACGTCACCTTCAGTTTAGGAACTTGCAGTCTGACGAAACAATGACTGTCAAATGTAATAGCAGGAGCATGTACCAGATGACTAGGCATAGTCAAGACTTCTTCAAACACACCATCAAAAAAGAAGATGATGATTCTGTCCCTGACGGCATTCGCTTCAGTCTAACATTCAGGGCCATCCATTGGTCAAACTTCAACTCAACTATTCTCATAGGAGATTCTAACTTTGGGCCGATAACATTCGGAAGCGGCAAAGGTAAACTTGGTGAATCGACCCCTGGCCTCAGATCTTGGGCTCCTACAATAGACTCAATAGACCCACTATCATGCACATCATACCGTAATGTTGTGCTAATGGTGGGCACTAATGACCTTAAGAACAAAATTACCGACCAAAAGGTCAAAGAACTTTATAAGCAATATAAAACAAAACTTAGTCTGATAAGGAAGTACAACCCTAAATGTAAAATATTCATATGTCCAGTACTTCCCACAAAATCACACGACAAGAACCGTAGAATTTTTATGTTTAATAGATTTATTGCTGAAGATTTATGCCAGTGTGACCTTAAAGTTATCCTAGTTGAAGGTTTTATCAAGTTCCTAGACAAGCGAACAAATCTTTTAGATTATGATCTTGCAAAGACTGATGTTGGAGATGAACTCCATCTCAATAGAAAAGGCACCAGCATCCTTGTTGTCCTATTAAAACGCTGCATCTTTCAATTTAAATCTAGTAAAACTAAATTATCAAGCAGTAGGTTATATTCTAACGCACTCAGAGGTGGCCCACCAAACCCTGTATAGATAAATGACTCCATCAATCAAACGAGAAATATGCGACTGCTGCAACAAAAACGTCCTTATTGGTCAAGGATACTTGGAATGTCAAAATTGTCCCAAAATAATACACAAATTATGCTTCAAAAATTCAAAATTTAGCCAAGGAGGCTCTGGACACTTATGCACCAACTGCTTCAGTATTAGTGTCATGATCTACAATCCCTTTAAGGAACTCATAGGACTTGACAAAGAGTCTGATGATAAGTTCTACTCAGAAGACTTCCTGGAGTCCTTTGACTGTATTAACCAAGCATCCACAATTTTGGAAAACTGTAAGAGTTACAAACTTAAATCAGTCCATGAAAAGGTCCCTAATAACTCTGATTTTAGCACAATGTTCTACAATATAGATGGAAATCTATCCAACTTTGACTCCTTTTCTGCAGAAATGAGCATGCAAAAACTTACCTACTCAGCTATTGCTCTTGCTGAAACAAATGTTAATCAAAACAAAGGTGATCTGTACAAATTAAGCAACTACTCGCATTTCTATAATGATACAATTCCAAATAAAACAAAAGGAACAGGTGTCTGTTTATATATCCACTGTTCCTTCAATGCAACCATAAACGACAAGCTTATCAGTACAACTAAAAACCTTGAATCACTCTTTGTTACTGTCAATAAAGGGACTAAAAAAGTTAATGTTGGTGTGGTTTATAGATCACCCAATGGGGACTCGAAAGAGTTTCTCAATGAGTTGACACACCTGAAGTCACTCTTCCCAAAGACATAAAATCTATAATTTTGGGAGACTACAACTTTGACCTTCTAAAGAGAACAAATCCCACAACTCAAAAATTTGAAAATTTGTTTCTTTCATTGGGATTCTTTCCGCTCATCTCATTACCAACTCATTCCACAAACATTCACCAACATTCCTGCATAGACAATATACTCACCAACGACATTGAACACGTCACGATGTCTGGGGTAATTGATGATATGAATTCCCACCACAAACCAATCATAGCCATGTTCAACCTTTGCATGCCTATGAACGAAACTTCTTCAGACAAAAAGCTACTCCAACACTACAGCTTCTCCAAGAAAAATGTTGATACTTTAATTACAGACCTTGAATCCAAAGAAGATATCATGGCAAACAGTACCAACTTTGAAACCTTCTTTAACATCTTCACACATACAATTGACTCTAACTGCAAACTAGATAAACCCAAAGTCTCCAAAAGAAATCCAATTAACAATCCTTGGATGACAGATGGAATTTCAGAAGCTATTTCAACTAAAGAGGAGCTGTATGATGACTGGATAGCCTCGAAAAAGTCAAAAGAATTTAGTCCAGATGGAAATATTGATCTCCACACAAAATTTTCAAACTATCGTCGATGTCTTAAAGGTGTAATAAAAAGTCAAAAAAAGAAATATTACTGTACTAAGATTATGGATCATCAAGGAGACAGCAAAAAGACTTGGGAAGTTATCAATGAATTAAGAGGAAAATGCAAAAAAACCATAAAGCCTCAATTCTGTGTCGACGGAGTACGCATCACAGAACGTAGACTCATAGCCAACAAATTTAATGAGTACTTTGCCTCAATAGCATCGAAATTGAATGAACAAGTTGATGGGGAAATGAAAATTGAGCCACTTCCTTCATTTGTTGAATTTTTACCAAAAAACTAACCCAAATTCGATGTACTTAACAGACTGCACTGAGAGTGAAATATCTCATATCATTTCTGAGCTACAAAATGGCAAAGCTAGTGATTTCCCCATTAGTGTTATTAAAAAGGCCTCACACATTCTCAGCCCAGTGCTTTCCATACAATACAACAACCTTATGTCAACAGGATGCTTTCCCGCCATCCTTAAGATAGGTAAAATTAGCCCCATATACAAAAAAGATAACGAAGAACACTTACAAAATTATCGTCCAATTTCCACTCTCCCAATTTTCGGTAAAATTTTTGAAAAGGTTATCTACTCACGGCTTTATGGTTTTCTCTCGAGTCAGGGAATACTGCACGATAGCCAGTTTGGGTTCCGAAAGGGTCATTCAACATCACATGCACTCAACTACTCTATTCACCACATTCAGCAGTCACTCAAAGCCGGTAATCATGTTTTAGGAATCTTTATCGACCTAAGTAAAGCATTTGATACAATAGATCACTCAATACTTCTCAAAAAATTAAACACATACGGGATCAGAGGACGGGCACACAAACTCCTGGAAAGTTATCTTTCCGACCGTAAACAATATGTTGGTGTGCTCAATGAAATATCTGATACTCTACCTGTGCTTTTTGGAGTGCCACAAGGGAGCTGCTTAGGGCCCCTTCTGTTCTTAATTTACATAAACGATCTTACAAACTCTGAAAAGAACTCTAAATTTGTTCTATTCGCTGATGACACAAATATCTTCGTCGCTGCAAAAAGTAAAAACCTAGCATACAAAAAAGCCAATGAAGTCCTAAATTCCGTACACCGCTACATGCTTGCCAATAAACTTCACATAAACACTGGCAAGAGCTGTTACCTTGAATTCTCAAACTCTCGATCCAACAAAGATAAAGATACACCCTCTGATCAAGAAATCAATATCAATGGCATACCCTTGGAGAGAGTACATGAAACTAAATTCTTAGGTGTAACAATCG